AGCACCCCCGGGATGTCACCCACTCCCCAGATGAGTGTCAGGTTTGGCACCAAGTCACCCCCAACACCCACCAGGTTGTCACCCCCTCCCCAGTTCAGTGTCCTGGGTTGTCACCAAGTCACCCCCGGCACCCACCAGGATGTCACCTCCTCCCCAGCTCAATTCCTGAGGGTCCCTGCCAGGGATGGCACCGAGTCACCCCCAGCACACCGCACCCTGCCCGAGTGCCAGCCCCTGGGATGTCACCCTGTCCCCAGCCCCGTGTCCCCAGTGCTGTGGCAGCCTCACAGGTCACTCAGGATGTCCAGAGGCTTGAAGAGGTCCCGTGGCAGCGTCTGCAGGTTGTTGTTGGCCAAGGACCTGGGGACGAGAAGTGCTGTGAGGTGACACATCCGTGACAGTGCTGAAGGCGCAGGGCCACCCCCCAGTGTCCCCTGGGTGCTCACAGGTGCGTCAGGGACTTGAGCCCGCGGAACGTGGCCTTCGAGAGGGCCTGGATGTCGTTGTTCTCGATGAACCTGCAACAGGAGCGGACAGTGACGGAGCCATCCCGGGTGCCCTCCCTGTGCCCTCCTGGGGGAGTGCAGGGCATCCCTCAGGCTGCCCTGGGACCCTGGCAGGGGTCAGAACCCCCCTGGACAGAGCCCCCAGAGACACTGGCTGTGATCTCTGTCCATGGAAAAGAGTTTTCAATCTTACAGGATCAATTACCAGCTCTGAGTATTTAATATCAGTAATAATTAAGTGTGGCACGGGTGCAAAAGTAAAATTTTAGGATTCTAGATGAGGGGTCCAAAGGGGACAAGATGGAGGAAATTGGGGGTGTCTTGTCCTTTTTCTCCTTCTTCATGCCCTCCATGTGTCACTGTGGTGTTGGCATTTTTCTGTTGGTTCAGGCTGGGGACACACTGTCCAACGTAGGTGACAGATATTGGCACGTTATTGTAAATCCAGCACAGGTAGTTTGTGGTATTTAATGTTTGTAACATCCCACTGAGGGATGTTATATTGATGCATTATTGTAAATATAGCACATGTAGTTTGTGGTCTATAATGTTTGTAACATTATAATGTTTGTAATATTATAATGCTTGCAACATTATGTACCAGATATAATATTTGTAACATTATATACCAGAAACTGGGGACTGGGTTTAGACAGGGGCCACAGTGTTTAACATAAGTGATAAATGTTAACACATTATTGTAAATACAGCACAGGTAGTTTGTGGTATTTAATGTTTGTACCATCCCACTGAGGGCAGAGCCCCACACGCTGCCCTGCAGGACAGAGCTGCGGCAGGGCAGCAGAACATGTTAGAGATAAACAGAATAAACAACCTTGAAACCAGCACAGACCAATTATGGCTTCTGCTTTGGCAAAAGAGCAGAAAGAAACTTTTCACAATCTCAGAATCATCAATGCCACAGATTCCAACACCCTCCCTGTGCCCTCCCTGTGCCCGCTGTGCCCGTGCCCTGTCCCCGGGTCACGCACAGGTACTGCAGGTGTGAGAGCCCGGCGAAGGCGTTGTCCCCGATCAGCGAGAACTTGTTGGAGTTGAGGAGGCTGCAAAGAGAAGGGGGGAGGCGTCAGCGGTGGGGCTGGGCAAGGTGGGCACCGATGTGGGCACCGAGAGGGGCACGGGGCACCTACAGGAACTGCAGGGAGGGGATGTGGGCGAAAGCCGCCTCGCGGATCTCCGTGAAGGCCGCGTTGACCATGGTCCTGCGGGAGAGACGGAGCTGCGGGAGAGGGCACGGCGGCAGCCTGGCACTGCCACCCCCGCGCCCCCAGCGCGGGCTCTGGGTCACCCATCACCCGCCCGGGGTGCTGGCACGGGCAGAGGGACCCGGCAGCCAGCCTGGCCAGCGGGGACATGGAGGGGACAAACCGCGGGGTGTTGGCACCCACGCCAGGCTGCCCACGCATGGCACGGGGCCATGGGCACACACACGTGTGTGAACGCACGGGAATGGGGGTGTGAGTGCATACACACGGATGTAACACACACAAACACGTGTGTGAGTACATACACACAGTGTAACACACATAAATAGGTGTGTGAGTACATACACACAGTGTAACACACACAAACACGTGTGTGAGTACATACACACAGTGTAACACACATAAATAGGTGTGTGAGTACATACACACATTGTAACACACACAAATGGGTGTGTGAGTACATACACACGGATGTAACACACATAAATAGGTGTGTGAGTACATACACACAGTGTAACACGCACAAACACATGTGTGAGTACATACACACAGTGTAACACACACAAACAGGTGTGTGAGTACATACACACAGTGTAACACGCACAAACACGTGTGTGAGTACATACACACAGTGTAACACGCACAAACAGGTGTGTGAGCATGCACACACAGTGTAACACACATAAACAGGTGTGTGAGTACATACACACAGTGTAACACGCACAAATGGGTGTGTGAGTACATACACACAGATGTAACACACATAAATAGGTGTGTGAGTACATACACACAGTGTAACACGCACAAACAGGTGTGTGAGTACATACACACAGTGTAACACACACAAACAGGTGTGTGAGTACATACACACAGTGTAACACGCACAAACAGGTGTGTGAGTACATACACACAGTGTAACACACACAAATGGGTGTGTGAGTACATACACACAGTGTAACACGCACAAACAGGTGTGTGAGTACATACACACAGTGTAACACGCACAAACAGGTGTGTGAGTACATACACGCAGTGTAACACACATGAATAGGTGTGTGAGTACATACACACAGATGTAACACACATAAATAGGTGTGTGAGTACATACACACAGTGTAACACGCACAAACAGGTGTGTGAGTACATACACACAGTGTAACATGCACAAACACATGTGTGAGTACATGCACACAGTGTAACATGCACAAACGGGTGTGTGAGTACATACACACAGTGTAACACGCACAAACGGGTGTGTGAGTACATACACACAGTGTAACACACATAAATAGGTGTGTGAGTACATACACACAGTGTAACACGCACAAACAGGTGTGTGAGTACATACACACAGTGTAACACGCACAAACACGTGTGTGAGTACATACACACAGTGTAACACACATAAATAGGTGTGTGAGTACATACACACAGATGTAACACACACAAACAGGTGTGTGAGTACACACACACAGTGTAACACACACAAACGAGTGTGTAAGCACACACAGACAGGTATAACACACACAAACAAGTGTGTAAGCACACACACACAGTGTAACACACACAAACGAGTGTGTAAGCGCACACACAGTGTAACACACACAAATAAGTGTGTAAGCACACACAGACAGGTGTAACACACACAAACGAGTGTGTAAGCACACACAGTGTAACACACACAAATAAGTGTGTAAGCACACACAGACAGGTGTAACACACACAAACGAGTGTGTAAGCACACACACACAGTGTAACACACACAAACGAGTGTGTAAGCACACACAGACAGATGTAACACACACAAACGAGTGTGTAAGCACGCACAGACAGTGTAACACACACAAACGAGTGTGTAAGCACACACACACAGACAGTGTAACACACACAAACGAGTGTGTAAGCACACACACACAGTGTAACACACACAAACGAGTGTGTAAGCACACTCACAGTGCCAACACCCACATCCACCACACTCCCCCGTGCCAGGCTCGGGCCCACAGCCCTGTCCCCCATCACGCCCCCTCGGGGACACGGTGGCCAAGGTCACCGCCGTGTCCCCCGCGCCAGCTCCGCTCCCCGGGGTGGCGGCGGGGACCGGCTGCGGCCCCGCTCCCTTTGGCACCGCCGGGCGGCTGCGGCCGCCAGCACCGCAGGACACGGGGACACGTCCCGGGCTGTCCCCAACCTCCCCCGGAGCCCCCGCGGGGCTGTCGCTGCCCCTGCAGGACAGCCAGCAGCCCCTGCCAGCCCTGAGATGCTGCTGGCGTGTGACACTGTCCCCACCGCTGTCCCCGCCGCTGTCCCCGCCGCTGTCCCCGCCGCTGTCCCCGCCGCTCTCCCCACCGCTGTCCCCATCGTTGTCCCCACCCCTGTCTCCACCGCTGTCCCCGCCGCTGTCCCCGCCGCTGTCCCCGCCGCTGTCCCCGCCGCTCTCCCCACCGCTGTCCCCACCGCTCTCCCCACCGCTGTCCCCATCGTTGTCCCCACCCCTGTCTCCACCGCTGTCCCCGCCGCTGTCCCCGCCGCTGTCCCCACCGCTGTCCCCGCCGCTGTCCCCACCGCTGTCCCCACCGCTGTCCCCACCGCTGTCCCCACGCCGGCTACTCACAGCGAGATGACCTCGGGGGGCAGGTTTTTGGGCACGGCCTTGGAGTCCACGCAAAAAGCCGTGTCCCGGGTGCAGGAGCAGCTCGGGGGACACGGGGGAGGCCGCGGGGGCCGCCGCCCCTCCGCCGGCAGCCAGAGGCAGGCCAGGGCGAGGAGGAGGAGGAGGAGGAGGAGGAAGAGGCGAGCGGGGAGCTGCTCCCCCGGCATCCTCCTGCCGCGCCGCAGCTCCATCGCGCCCTGGCCTGATCCCTGCTCGGTCCCGGCAGCTGCTCCCAACGCCGCTGTGGCCGGGAGCGGTGGAAAAAACCTTTTTTTTGTGTGTGGTTTTTTATCTCTCTTGTTTTTATTCCCCCGAGGATGTCAGGGTGGAGGAGAAGCGGCGGAGGCTGCCTGACCCGCGGCTCTGCAGCGCATCATGCCCGGTGCTGCGGGAGGGAGGGAGGGGAGGAGGAGGAGGGAGGGGAGGAGGGAGGGATGCGGCTGAGTGACATCGCCAGCATCCCCGTGCACGCGTGTCCGTGCGCGCGTGTCGCCGGCAGCCACCAAACTCGGGGTTCCACGCCGCGGGGACGGGCTGCTTTTGGGGTGGGCAGAACTTGGGGGGACAGCACAGGGGTGATGCCCCCGCGGTGGCTCCCCCAGCTCGGCGCTGCGGCGCTGCCCGTGCCAGCTCCTTCCCCTGCCCGCTGCGGCCGCAGCACGCCGGGCAGCGATCCACGCCGCCCCGGGCACCCGGCCGTCCCTGGCACCCATCTCCCCCATGCCAGGCGTCCATCTGCGCCGGGCCTGGCACGGAGCCCGCGGGAACAATGAGTCCAGCCAGCTCCTTCCCCGTCCCGGGGGGGGCTCGCACAGCTGCCCGTGCAGAACCAGGGGTGCAGCCCCCCAGCCCCCACTGGGACCCCTCCTGCCGCACTCCCGGGCTGGGTGTGGAGGGCGGGCGCTGCCCAGTGTTTGCCTTGGCACCCGCAAATGGCACGGAAGGGCCCTCCGGAGGTTTTTTTGTCCCCTCCCTGGCTCTTGTGCGCGCTCAGCAAACAGCACAAGCGGCTCTCGGCAGCTGGAGTGGCCCCAGCCTTCCCCGGCCACCCGGGATCCTATAAATGCCCCCGGGCCCACGCTGGCAAAGGGACAGGAGCGCACGGGGAGATGGACGACAGCTCCAAAGAGGCGCTGATGGAGGAGGCACCTCCGGTAAGGAGCACCCACCACCCACCCTTGGCGTGGGGCTGAGCCCCCGCTGCCCCCCGGTGCTGGCGGCTCAGCCGGGCGCTCCCCCTTGTCCCCCCACCAGAGGTACACGGAGTCCCCGCGCCTGCCCTGCATCCCCCACGAGCTCAAGAGCCTCTTGCTGATGGTGGCCCTCGTGGTGGTGGCCCTCGTGGTGGTCAACGTCACCTTCCTCCTGCTGGGGCTGCACCTCAGCGAGTCACACGCCGAGACGGTGAGGGCAGGAGGGCAGGAAGGGACCGCGGTGCCACCGGGTTGGGGACGGCACCGTGGCTTTGTAGGGACGGGGTTCAGCCCCCGCAGAGCTCCCTGAGCCATCTCCCCCCGGCAGGTGCTGCGAATGACCATCCACGGGCTGGATGGCGACGGGACCCCGCAGCAGCTCGCCATGAGCAAGAAGGAGCGGAGCGGGACGTTCGCGGTGCGGGACGGGCACAACGCCACGGCCGCGGTGGTGTACGACTACAGCAAGGTGCGTGGGGAGTGGGGAGCGGCGGGGCGGCCCCGGGGCCGTGCCGGGCTGAGCCGGCTCTGTCTGCCAACAGCTGCTGCTGGGATACAGGTCCTGGAGCCGCCGCGCCTGCCTCATCACCCGCCTGGACAAGGACAACTTGCCGGGGCTGGACGCTGTCACCGAGACCTTCCAGCGGCGGCAGGTGAGCGGTGAGCGCTGAGTGAGAGAAGCCGAGCTGGGCCCAGCGCAGCCCAACCCGGACACTGTGGCTGCCGAGAATTGTAAATGCAGGCGAAGCCAATGGGAAGAAATGGCGATGTCTGATTCAATTCAGAAGGCTGAATTATTTCTTTATTATAACTATGCTAAAATACATAAATATCCTATATAAAAGGAGGATACTAAAACTACATACTACTTTCTCTGACTCTAACCCAACTCGTGACCCTCTCTGAGAGTCCAGCCTCAGATGGATTGGGTTGGATTGGGTTGGATTGGATTGGGTTGGATTGGGTTGGGTTGGATTGGATTGGATTGGGTTGGGTTGGATTGGATTGGATTGGATTGGATTGGATTGGATTGGATTGGATTGGATTGGATTGGATTGGGTTGGGTTGGATTGGATTGGATTGGGTTGGGTTGGATTGGATTGGATTGGATTGGATTGGATTGGATTGGATTGGATTGGATTGGATTGGATTGGGTTGGGTTGGATTGGATTGGATTGGGTTGGATTGGATTGGATTGGATTGGATTGGATTGGATTGGATTGGATTGGATTGGATTGGATTGGGTTGGATTGGATTGGATTGGATTGGATTGGATTGGATTGGATTCAATTCGATTTGCTTCGATTCGATTCAATTCGATTCGATTTGATTGGCCACCAGGCTCAAACAATCCTCACCAGAATCCAACCCAGCACTCACCCCAGGTAAACAATTCTCCAAACACATTCCACATGGGAAAATCAAGGAGCAGAAACAGAAATTGTTTTCTCTTTCATCTCTCTCCGTGCACCCCTATGAAAAATCCTGAGAGGGAGAGAAACGTGCTGCCCCAGCCGAGGGTGGCAGCTCTGCTCCGTGCTCTGTCCTGCAGGACGAGGACGTTGGGGACAAGGCCGTGCCCCTGGCTGACCGCTCCATCCTGGGCACCACCATCAACATCCTCTGCAGCGCCGTGCCCGTGTTCTGGGTGTAGCAGCAGCTCCCAGCGGGATGGGACAGCCACACGGGGATGTCGCCGTCCCCCAGGAGGGATAGCCGGGAATGTCTCCTCCTCCTCCTTGTCCCCACCCTGGGGACAGCCACCCCGCCACGGGGCCGCTCCATCCACTGTCGCTTGGCACCGCGGCTTTCCCACGGATCTCGCCCTAAAAAAATGTGGGATTTGCTTTGGGATTTGCTTCTGTCTACAAAGTAAAGCCTGTGCCTCCGCCTCCAAGTGTGCTCGTGCCCTTCCTGGGTGCTGGGGACAGGGACACGGTGTCCCAAGGGTGTCCCTTTGTGGGGTGCAGGGTGGGGAGGGGAATCCCTCACGTTGGGAGGGATCAAACACGGGGAGGCAGCAGCAGAAGTGCACACGATGCTCCCATTGTCCCCATTCGTGCCCTCCTATTGTCCCCAACTGTGCCCCCCCAGTGTCCCCAGCTGTGCCCTCCTATTGTCCCCAACTGTGCCCCCCCAGTGTCCCCAGCTGTGCCCTCCTATTGTCCCCACCTGTGCCCTCCCAGTGTCCCCAACTGTGCCCTCCTATTGTCCCCACCTGTGTCCCCCCATTGTCCCCAACTGTGTCCTCCCACTGTCCCCACCTGTGCCCTCCTATTGTCCCCAACTGTGTCCCCCCATTGTCCCCACCAGTGCCCTCCCATTGTCCCCAACTGTGTCCCTCCAGTGTCCCCACCTGTGCCCTCCCAGTGTCCTCAACTGTGCCCTCCTATTGTCCCCAACTGTGTCCCCCCAGTGTCCCCACCTGTGCCCTCCTATTGTCCCAAACTGTGTCCCCCCAGTGTCCCCACCTGTGCCCTCCTATTGTCCCCACCTGTGTCCCCCCATTGTCCCCAACTATGTCCCCCCCAGTGTCCCCAGTTGTGTCCCTCCAGTGTCCCCACCTGTGTCCCCCCATTGTCCCCACCTGTGCCCTCCTATTGTCCCCACCTGTGCCCCCCCCAGTGTCCCCAGCTGTGCCCTCCTATTGTCCCCAACTGTGTCCCCCCAGTGTCCCAAACTGTGTCCCCCCAGTGTCCCCACCTGTGCCCTCCTATAGTCCCTAACTATGTCTCCCCAGTGTCCCCAACTGTGTCCCCCCATTGTCCCCACCTGTGCCCTCCTATTGTCCCCAACTGTGTCCCCCCAGTGTCCCCACCTGTGCCCTCCTATTGTCCCCACCTGTGCCCTCCTATTGTCCCCAACTGTGTCCTCCTATTGTCCCCAGTTGTGTCCCCCCATTGTCCCCAACTGTGCCCCCCCAGTGTCCCCAGCTGTGCCCCCCAGTTTGGAGGATGAGGGTGAGGAGGAAGGATCAACCTCTGCTCCTCCAGACCTTCAGGACAAGCTCCCAACCCCGTCCCCTCCTCGTGCAGGTGGGGACAGAGGGACCGTGCCACATCCCCAGTGGGACCCGAGGGTGACCCACAGCCACCACGAGCCACCTGCTCCAGCTCCAGCTCCCCCAATTCCCATCCCCACATCCCCATCCTCTCCCTTTTCCCACCCATTCCAGCCCCTCTTTGCCCCCCTCATCAGCTGGGAGCAACCTCGGGGGCCACTTCTGAAAAACACTGAAAAACACTGAAAAAACACTGAAAAAAAATGGAAAAAACACTGAAAAAACACTGAAAAAAATGGAAAAAAAACCCACTGAAAAACAGAGGGGCAGCATGGCTGGAAGGGGGAAAAGAGACCCCTGGAAATGGGTTTGCTCTTTCCAGAGTTTCAAACTCGATATTGTCCCCAAAATCCCTGCAGGGGTCACAGCTCTGGGGGGTGACGCTTTGCTGGGAACAGGAGGGACATGGCACATCTCCATGTGTTGCTCAGAGCCAGCAGCTCTGCTTCCCAAAAAACCCCGACCCTGATAAGGAGCTGGGTCAAGAGGGTGCCATGGGCCAGGAGAGGTGATAAGGGCTCCCATGGTGACAGAACAAACAGCCAGGAGCCACTCAAGGGACTCTGGTGGCCCTTGACACCCTGGGAAAAGAGGCAGCGTTCACCCCCCCAATTGGTATTGTGGGTTTTGGGGGTCTCAGGGGTGGCTGGAGGGGTCCCAGGTGCAGGAGGGGCTCATGGGTGGGCACAACCAAAGCCCAGCAGTGTCCCCCTCCCACCTGAGAGGGACATGCCAGAGCTGAGACCCCCTCACCCCAAAAAAATCCACACTGTGGGCACCTGTGCCAGCCCCAAATGCCACCAGCAGTGATGTCCAAGGAGGAGGATGTCCTCAGGAGGAGGAATGAGGGTCAGGGACACTCCCCACGCCTTGGTGACCCCGTTCCCACCCCATCCCTGCGGATTACGGGAATTTTTTAATGTCCTCTTTGTCCCTCACCACACCAAGCAGCTGCAGGTGCCCGAGCTGGCGAAGGGACACGGGCCAGCTCTCGCCTCGGGTGCAGCCACAGCCGGATGCTCCACCCTGGAGGGTTTGTTTTGGCCCTGCCACCTCTCTCCTGGCAGCAGAGAAGTCCCCGTGCCTGGGGACAAGGGTCCTTGAGCCGGTGCCCCCGGAGCCTCTTGAGCAGCAGGTTCCCAGGGGGATCCAGCTGGGAGTGGGCGCTCAGCAAACACCAGTGGAGTGGCTCACATGCCAGGGCCTGGCTGCACCCCGGGGCCACCAAACCCTTCGCAGGGTCCCCACCCCAGTGTCCCAGTATAAAGCTCCCAGTCCATGCGGTTGGACTGGGCTGGGAATGGGAGGAGGAGGAGGAGGAGGAGGAGGAGGAGGAGGAGGAAGCAGCCATGGAGAGCAGCATGAAGCAGGTGGTGCTTGAAGAGGAGGTGAGTCCCTGCAGGGTGGCACTGCCACACCGCGGTGTCCCTGCAGCCAGCTGGGCCCAGGCCTTTGCCCAGTTTATCCCAGCAAGGCACCAGTGCTCCGAATGGGGATTTGGACCGTGGGATGCCACATTCCCAGTGCCCAGGGGCAGCGGGATGCTGGGGGGCACCCTCAACTCCTGCATCCTCCAGCTCCCATCTCCACCCCCCTGACCCCTTCTCCCTTCCCTTTCCTGCACCAGGACTCGGGGAACGGCTGCTGCTGCCCAGGCTGCTGCCTGCCCTGCGCCACGTGCTGCGGCAAATGCTGCGCCAGATGCAGCGTGTGCTGCGCCAAATGCTGCACCAAATGCAGCTGGTGCTGCGCCAAATGCTGCTGCCTGCCCAAGTGCTGCCGGTGCCCCAAGTGTCCCAAGTGTCCCAAGTGTCCCGGTTGCGGCAGCTGCTCCGGCTGCCTCAAGAAGTCCCTGTGCTTCGTCCCTCGGCTGCTCTGCTCCCTGCCGCGCAAGCTGCTGAGCTGCGGCCGCCTGCGCTGCCTGCTGATCGTGGTGGTCCTGGTGGTCCTGCTGGTGCTCATCATCGCCGGAGCCCTGCTGCTGCGGCTGAGCGCTGAGCAGGTCGGTGGGCACCCCCAGTGCCATCAGCACGGACCCCCCCGTGCCCGGGGGAAGGGGCTGCTGCAGCCGCTGAGACCCCCCCTCGGTCCCCTCCATCACGGACCCCCCCGTGCCCGGGGGAAGGGGCTGCTGCAGCCGCTGAGACCCCCCCTCGGTCCCCTCCATCACGGACCCCCCCGTGCCCGGGGGAAGGGGCTGCTGCAGCCGCTGAGACCCCCCCTCGGTCCCCTCCAGGGTCTGCGGGGTGAGCTGTGGGGTGGAGCGGCCTGGGAGGAGGACGAGGTCACTTTCTACCTGGATAACGGCGATGGGAACGCGGCCACGGTCATCTACGACTACAAAAATGTGAGTGGGGGGCTCTGGGGGTACGGGGAGGGGGGAGATGGGATGGAGCTGACCCGAGTTGGGCTTCCACCAGCTGCTGGTGAGCTACAGAGCCCGGCTGCACCGCGCCTGCTTCGTGACCCGCGTGGGCAAGGACAACATCCCGGGGCTGGACACCGCCGTGGAGATCTTCCAGCGCCGGCAGGTGAGGACTTGGCTGGGCCAGGGGGGTCTCAGTGCCTTGTGCAGCCCCCCTTGAGGGGTGGAACGATGAAGATGATGATGAAGAATGTCTCTGTTCAGGCTGAGGACAAGATCTCCGTGCCCCTGGCTGACCGCTCCCTGCTGGGCACCACGGCGGGCATCCTGTGCAACCTCCTCCCGGTTTATTGGGCTTAACCCCGCGGGGTGAGCCCGCAGCGTGGGCAGGGGGGCTGCGGGACCCCCGACCACCCGGCAGCACCCCACAGCACCCCAACAGCGCCAGCTTCGCCTTGCAGCACCCCTCGATGGACGCGACCCCACTGGGAGCATCGGCGGCTCCTCCACGGCCGCCCCCGCGCCCCTCACCCCGAATTTGGGGTGCGGGGGGTGAGGAGGGGTCGGGGGTCGGTTCTGGGGGGGCTGCGCTGTGCCGGGGGACAGCTGGTTTGTCACTTAAGTCTTCTCAGCTTCGCCAAAACCCAAGTGCAAAAATGAGCTTTAAAAAAACCACGACATTTAAAGAAAACACAATTCTCCGTTCCAGTTCTTCGCTCCCGCCGGCTCTGCCTTCAAAATGCCTCGGGGGGCTCTGGGTTGGAATTTTGGGGGGATTTCAGTGGCAGCCACAGCCTGGGCTGGGAGCCTCGTCAGCACCGGGTGATTTAGGACAGGCTGTCGGCATTAGGGGTCACCAGGCACTATAAGAATTGGGAATTATCGGGATTTTTAGGATGAGGGAGCTGGTGTTGGGATCAGGCATGATTAGGATGATTTTTTTTTATTATTATTAGGATAGGAATGCTGGCACTGTTATGAGGAATTATGAGGAATTATGAGGATCAGGATGTTGGTGATATTAGGATCAAGAATCATTAGGATCAGGAATTATTAGGATCAGGATGTTGGTGCTATTAAGATCAGGAATTACTAGGATCAGGAATTATGAGGATCAGGATGTTGATGCTATTAGGATCAGGAATTATTAGGATCAGGATGTTGGTGATATTAGGATCAGGATGTTGGTGATATTAGGATCAGGAATTATGAGGATCAGGATGCTGGTGCTATTAGGATCAGGAGTTGTTAGGATCAGGATGTTGGTGCTATTAGGGTTTGGGTTGGATCAGGAATTATTAGGATCAGGAATTGTTTGGATCAGGAATTATGAGGATCAGGATGTTGGTGCTATTAGGATCAGGAATCATTAGGATCAGGAATTATTAGGATCAGGATATTGGTGTGATTTGGATCAAGTAGTATTGCAATCAGGACTGAGATGCTGATTCTGTAAGGATCAGGAGTGATAAGGACCAGGATTTTATTAAAATCAGCCTTTATTAGGATGGGATTCTGGCATCATTAGGACCAGGAGTTTATTGGGATTATGACATTGACCCGGCACTGAGAGGAGGAATATGGAACAGCCCATAAAATCCCCCGGGAATGGGAGCCCAGCAGCCCCACAGCTGCCTTGTGCCAACCCCAAATTGGGGACCAGCAGCCCCCCACTGCCCCCACACCTGCTCCAGCCCCTTTCCTGCTCCTGGCACCGGGGAAGCTGCTCTGGGCACCGGGAAAGCTGCTCCGGGCACAGGGGAAGATGCTCTGGGCACCGGGGAAGCTGCTCCGGGCACCGGGGAAGCTGCTCCGGGCACCGGGGAAGCTGCTCCGGGCACCGGGGAAGCTGCTCTGGGCACCGGGGAAGCTGCTCTGGGCATCGGGGAAGCTGCTCTGAGCACCGGGGAAGCTGCTCCTGACACCGGGGAAGCTGCTCTGGGTACCGGGGAAGCTGCTCCTGGCACCGGGGAAGCTGCTCTGAGCACCGGGGAAGCTGCTCCGGGCACCGGGGAAGCTGCTCAGGGCACCAGGGAAGCTGCTCCTGGCACCGGGGAAGGTGCTCCTGGCACCGGGGAAGCTGCTCTGGGCACCGGGGAAGCTGCTCCTGACACCGGGGAAGCTGCTCCGGGCACCGGGGAAGATGCTCCTGGCACCGGGGAAGCTGCTCTGGGCACCGGGGAAGCTGCTCTGGGCACCGGGAAGTTGCTCCGGGCACCGGGGAAGCTGTTCCGAGCACCGGGGAAGCTGCTCCTGGCACAGGGGAAGCTGCTCCGGGCACCGGGAAGTTGCTCCTGGCACCGGGAAAGCTGCTCTGGGCACCGGGGAAGCTGCTCCGGGCACAAGGGAAGCTGCTCTGGGCACCGGGGAAGCTGCTCCGGGCACCGGGGAAGCTGCTCTGGGCACCGGGGAAGCTGCTCCTGGCATAAGGGAAGCTGCTCTGAGCACCGGGGAAGCTGCTCCAGGCACCGGGGGAGCTGCTCCTGGCACCGGGGAAGCTGCTCTGGGCACCGGGGAAGCTGCTCTGAGCACCGGGAAAACTGCTCCTGGCACCGGGGAAGCTGCTCCGGGCACCGGGGAAGCTGCTCTGGGCACCGGGGAAGCTGCTCCGGGCACAGGGGAAGCTGCTCCGGGCACCGGGAATTTGCTCTGGGCACCGGGGAAGCTGCTCCTGGCAAAACCCCGGGCTGCTCTTTGCTGTGGAGGTTTTGGGGATGGAAGCCACGAGGAGCTGAGGATGGGCTCCAGGAATTCTCCTGGCAGCTCCTGGTGTCCCCCACCCTCACGGCTGCGCCGGTGCCAGGCCTTGGCATCGCCCTCCTGACGTTCCAGGATGCCAAGGAAGCCGGGCAGGGCGGGCAGGCTGAGCTAGGAGCGCTGGAATCCGTGTGCCCGTGCCAGGTGCCATCACCCAGGGCTGCTGGCATGAGGACATGCCCATCCTGGCGCTCAGGATGCTCTGCTCCTCTTCCAGCCAGGGCTGCAGCTTGGAATTCTGGTCGTGCTGTGGTTTGGAAAGACAGGAGGCAAAAGCCTCCTGTGAAATGGCAAAGGTAAAACCCCCTCTCTCCAAATTATGACAATTTCAAAATTAAAAGGCTCTCAGGCAAAGATATGGGAATGGGAATAACAGTTTTTTAGTAGGAAATCTATTAACAGAAGATCTCTCCCCGGAGGGAGGCGTCGTTCTTGAAAGAGATAAGAAAACTGCCCAACAGATGGCAAAAGGAATCCATGCTGATTTTACAAGCCAGGACAAGTGGCCAGTGGCCTCCAGGGTCTCAGGAGCCCATCCCGGTGTGGGAAAAGCGAGCTGGGAAAAGCTCCTGGGAGAGGCCGGGCTCCCCGGGGCGCTCCGTGAGAAAGGGGCTGGAAAGCAGCGGCTGGATCCTGAATCCGTGGATTGACATCATCATCCCAAGGACTCGGCCCGCAAACATCCTCCCCAGCCCGAGCACGGGGGTGAAAACAAAATCTGTTCCAAAAATTTCATTCGTTTCGGCTTGAGGTCGCAGTGGAATCCAGGAGTTGCTCCCCAAATTCCCGTCCCTGGGCTGGGGCAGAGTGGGGACACGGAGTCAGCCCGATTTTCCAGGGTTGGTTTATCTGCTTTGAGGAGGAAAGTTTCGCTGGATGTGGGTTTTGCAATAAGGGAGAAGGAGGAAAACATCCTGGGAGGAAAACTTCGGCAGAGATAAGGGGTGAAGAGATAAGGGGTTCCCATCACTCCTGGTGGGAACGAGCCGGGCCCTGGACGAAGGGGATCCCCAAAAGTGAAGGGAAAGGGGATTTGGGGGTTTGGTGGGCAGGGAAGGAGCAGATCCTGGATGCCAGCGTCACCCAGTGTGTCCCTGTGCAGGTCATCAGGCTCAGAAAACACTTAAAATCCTAAAAAACCGAAATTAATGCGAGTCTGGGAGGGCAGTGAGAGGATGAGGGATGGGTTTGTAGGAGCAGCACGGGATGAGCCAGGTCCTGCTGCAGCACGGCCAGGCTGGGATGTCCCCGGCAGGGCCACCACGAGGGGACAGGGCTGTGTGCTGTGCCCCGGCCACCCCGGGGGGCTGGGATCGTCCTGGGGGGGCTCCCCAAACACTCACTGGGGCGCTCATCCAGCTCCTGGGGTGCTCATCCTGATCCCAGGGTGCTCATCCTGATCCCGGGGTGCTCATCCTGATCCCGGGGTGCTCATCCTGCTCCTGGGGTGCTCATCCAGCTCCTGGGGTGCTCATCCTGATCCCAGGGTGCTCATCCTGCTCCTGGGGTGCTCATCCTGCTCCTGGGGTGCTCATCCTGATCCCGGGGTGCTCATCCTGATCCCGGGGTGCTCATCCTGATCCCGGGGTGCTCATCCTGCCCCTGGGGTGCTCATCCTGATCTCAGGGTGCTCATCCTGATCCCAGGGTGCTCATCCTGCTCCTGGGGTGCTCATCCAGCTCCTGGGGTGCTCATCCTGATCCCAGGGTGCTCATCCTGCTCCTGGGGTGCTCATCCTGCTCCTGGGGTGCTCATCCAGCCCCTGGGGTGCTCATCCTGATCTCAGGGTGCTCATCCTGCTCCTGGGGTGCTCATCCTGATCCCAGGGTGCTCATCCAGCTCCTGGGGTGCTCATCCAGCTCCTGGGGTGCTCATCCAGCCCCTGGGGTGCTCATCCTGATCTCAGGGTGCTCATCCAGCCCCTGGGGTGCTCATCCAGCTCCTGGGGTGCTCATCCTGCTCCTGGGGTGCTCATCCTGCTCCTGGGGTGCTCATCCAGCTCCTGGGGTGCTCATCCTGATCCCGGGGTGCTCATCCAGCTCCTGGGGTGCTCATCCAGCTCCTGGGGTGCTCATCCAGATCCCAGGGTGCTCATCCTGATCTCAGGGTGCTCATCCAGCCCCTGGGGTGCTCATCCTGATCCCAGGGTGCTCATCCAGCTCCCGGGGTGCTCATCCTGATCTCAGGGTGCTCATCCTGCTCCTGGGGTGCTCATCCTGCTCCTGGGGTGCCCATCCAGATCTCAGGGTGCTCATCCTGCTCCTGGGGTGCTCATCCTGCTCCTGGGGTGCCCATCCAGATCTCAGGGTGCTCATCCAGCTCCCGGGGTGCTCATCCTGATCCCAGGGTGCTCATCCAGCCCCTGGGGTGCTCATCCTGCTCATGGGGTGCTCATCCTGCTCATGGGGTGCTCATCCTGCTCATGGGGTGCTCATCCTGATCCCGGGGTGCTCATCCTGCTCATGGGGTGCTCATCCTGATCCCGGGGTGCTCATCCTGATCCCGGGGTGCTCATCCAGCTCCTGGGGTGCTCATCCAGCTCCTGGGGTGCTCATCCTGATCCCGGGGTGCTCATCCAGCTCCTGGGGTGCTCATCCTGATCCCAGGGTGCTCATCCTGATCCCGGGGTGCTCATCCTGATCCCAGGGTGCTCATCCAGCTCCTGGGGTGCTCATCCAGCTCCTGGGGTGCTCATCCTGATCCCGGGGTGCTCATCCTGCTCCTGGGCACCTTGCCCCACATTCCCAGGGTGCTTTTTTGGTTCCTGGGGTGCTCATCCTGATCCCAGGGTGCTCACACACCCTCTTTGAGGTGGTCATCCCACTTTTGGGGTGCCTGGCCACCCTTCCTGGGGTGTTTGCCCAGATTTTGGGGTGCTCCTTGGCCCTCATTCCCAGAGTGCATTTTCAGGTTCTGGGGTGCTCATCCTTTTCC